AAACTCTAAAACCTAGGGTGCACAACAAAATTTTGAAGACGAATAAGCAGAGGGGTGAGGAACTGAGGTTCTCGGAGCTTCCTTTCATAGGCAAAATTTTGATTGAAAACCGCAGGGGAGGGAGAGGTTTTCAACTGCCATGCAAACCCACGTCTCCAGAATCCCTGCATGGCGACATGTCGGGTGTCGGGGAATATGGACGACATACAAACCGCAGGGGGTGCGGTTTGTGTGTCTGCAAAGTAAACCGTTTGATGAAGAAGCGGTTTAGGTTGAAATCGGGATTTTAAGTAAAATCGAAAACTAAGGTAGAATCGGAATCGTAGATTAAAATCGTAAAATTGTAAGATTTTAAGGTTCATATTAAATAATCACTTAAAACACCAGATAGTAATAAAAATGCATATCCTGAATAACAATCAACCACATATAACATAATTACTTCCCAAGATAAATTTGTTTGCTAAATAAATACAACTAAATCCATATATCTATTCTTGTACATAATATAAACACACAAGTAAGCAACCTGAAACTCCAATGAAATCACTTAATTAATAGTTAAGAGTAGAAAATTACATAATATCGTTAGGGATCAACATTAATATCACTTATACATCATCATCATCATCATCATCATCCTCACCCTCACTCTCACTCTAACTCTAATCCTTGTCTATTTGCTTAAGGACTAATATAATTACTCTTAAGATCACTTGAAATACTTTCACCATTAACCATATTTCCTTGATCACAAATATAACTCATTGATTGGTGCATTCCCTTCTTAATTGATAAAAGGTCGGGGATAGTGCTGCTGAAGGATTGAGAGATGAACGAAAGATCGCAATGGAATGGAGATTTGGATTTTTGTGAGGGTGGTGGGAAAAACCTACAAGCTAATTGGGAGAGTGGAAGATATCGTTGAAGGGAGGAGTTGGGCGTCGACGTGCGAAAGAGGAAGATACGAGGAAGAGAATGAAAATAAATTGAGTGTTGTCTATTGGGTTAGGGTTGCGTTGTTCATTATGTTGGGTCGTGAGAAGTAAACTTGACTTGGTTTATGGACAGAACCGGACTTGACCAGCCTCATTTTGCTCCAATTGATGTGAACCTTGAAATCGTACAAAATCGTAGAAATCGTAGATTTTAAGGATTTTAGAGTTTTAAATCGAGATTTTATGGGATTTTAAGGTTCAAAGATTTTACAATAAAATCATGATCGGAACCCATAAGTAAGATCGTAAAATCGTAAAATTTTAAGATTAAAATCGGGATTTTGACTACATTGCTTGAGCCTTTTGCGAAATGCAATGCTGGTTTCCCGAGAAGAAAGCAGCAAAACATAGTAAGTGCAAAGTTAAACCTAGCTATGAAAGTTGAGGGCGTACGTGCATATAATGTTATGAGAATTGAGTTGGAGATCCACCGTCTTCATCGCCAATTCGCCATTAATGATCTCGACCGGATCGTCGGTAATTAATTCCCGGCTAGAGAATCAATAAGGTTTGAGAAACCCCAAAACGAGTTTTCTTCACTTAGCTTCGAGTTTGGGTCAATGCAAAGTATTGGAGGCCACGTCGGAGCGGCCGCCACGTCCAACAAAACAACATATATTATGTAATGTAATGTTGAATGGCAATACCATCGATCGTGATTAGCGGCTTCTTTTCACCACCCGACATTTCCCGCTTACTTTAATCCTTCCTCTTCTTCATACTTTGTTTCCTCTCTTCTTTCTGGTGCTTTATATATACTAATTTGCTTAATCAGCAACCGACCGGCTCATCTTACTTACTTGATGATCTTCAATGATAAAAAAGGTTTTTAGTTAAGAGCAAATTGTCACTTTTGGTTGCAAGTTAATTATGTCTCCTCTGACTGCAGATCTCCTGATGTACCCCTGTCTCTATGCTCAAGGCATTATGCATGCATATATATATACATTAATTTGTAGTTACATGCATATATTCTGAAAGCAAGCAGGGCTAGCGTTAGGCGTAAGTTGGACATTGGAGTGTTGTCTGATGCATATATAGTTCATCTAAGGATCCTCTATGCGTTAGAAGCGAAAATAACTACTTTCAATAGAAATAACAGCGCACTTCCCAATTTAAATTCAAACTTAGTTAACCCCTTGGAAACAAGTAAAATATCTCACCAATTCCTTGAATAAGAAGTTTACAAAAAGTAGAAACACTTAACTCACCATTCATTTTATATCTAAACAGATTCATCCCGTCACCACAACATCTTTATCATCTTCAAAATCCATTTCCTCCTCTTTGCGATCGAATTCTTTATCATGAAGCTCTCTCACTCTTGGTTTCCTCTTTGCGAAGTTCAAGTTGTTCACTAGCTCTTATGTATCTTCAAAAACACTGGATGGTATATCGATCGATCGTCTCCTCATTTCATCCAAACAGGGTAGGGTTCAAGAATACATTTCATGTTTATTATTTCAAACCCTTGACATTTATGTCTAAGCTGTCATGATGAGAATATATAGGATTAGTATATGGTTACTATAATTAAAAAACAGTTTAGCTAGCTAGAGTCGTTAGCTTAAAGCTTTGGACTGAACTACCATATGGAAGCTAAGGGTGGGACTAAAGTAAAGTACTAGAATGAGGGGGTAGAGGCAATTAATTAATTATATAAGGATGAAGTTAGGTTAGTGTTGGGATGATGATTGCCATGATTAATCATTGTGAGGCGGTAGATTGGCCAGCCGGTCAAAACAACACAATTAGGCCGTCGAGCAAAAGATGATAAGGAAGATGGTACGCCTGAGATCGACAAACAACAACCATATATTCCATCTTAATCATTAATTAATTAGCACTGTAAGCTAGCCTAGCTGGATGGCGGAAGCTGCTGTAGTCTAGATAGATAGAGGTCAAAGAAGCAAACAGAAGCTTTTTTAATCCGGGTTTTTTTTCTACTATTGTTAATTGTTATATATGGTGGAAACAGACAAACGTACGTGCGATGCGAGCAAAAACCATTTGGCTGGCTGGCACCCATATATATATACACTAAATTTTATACAAACAGAAATATTCCCTTACTTACTTTCTGGAGTTTGGACTTTTGCGGGACGAACCGACACAGACATATATAAAAACTTTGGTGGGGAGCTAAAATACAACTAGCTTTCGGTTACATTATTAGAATTATAATAATGTATTTGTCTTATGATAATAAGGAAATGATTTGTCTTCTGAATAGGGTGAAAGCACTCGATCAACGGGCAGAGCAGGAGATTTATAGGATGATCAATGTCCTGGAAATTATTAGACAATGTAGTTATTGATGAGCACCAAGGTCCATATTAAGACCACATTGTTCGTCACCTTATATTTGATGAGTTGAAAGTAATGGACATAGAAAAATGAATCGACAATTTTTAATATGTATCTTAAATTGTTTGGAGAATGAAATATGAATTTATCTAGTTCTAAATTTTTTTTATGAATTTATGTAGTAGATTGACTCGTTGTGACACAACTTAAATTCTTTTTCTCTCTCTCAAGGGCAGGGGCGGAGGAAGCTAGTAGTTAGGGTGTTCCATGGCACACCCTTGGATTGAGACTAGAACATTAAAAAAAAAATAGGGGTTAGTTTATCTTATAGCTTGAATTTGAACATGGAACCCCATTGTTGTTATTAGTTTTGACATCTTTCATTAAACCACAATTACTTATGTGATACACTAATACGTTTTATTGTATATATAATTAATTTACCGTTTACAAATATTAAATAAATTAAATTAAAAAAAACTCATAATTGTATCCTTATTCAAGCAGTAATCGGAACAGTTATATCTATGAGATGAAGAGAGATAAGATGTTCACTGGAGTAAAGGGGAATGCTTAGCTTTCTAGTAAGATGGTTTCTACAAAGCGGCATCTGGGATTTCCATCTGTGTATTTTCTTGTGAAGTTAGCATTGCTGCTACCAGCCGCCACTGCAAGTGTTGAAAGAGTACTTTCGGCAATTAACTACGTGAAGAACAGTCTTCGGAGTCGAATGAGTGATGATATCATTAACGATTTTTTGGTAGGATACATTCTTGATAGTCTGGATGATGAATGTATTTTACTGATTTTTCAAACCATAAGAATCCGTCGTGGGTCACCATAAAAAATTGATAGTCATTTTAATTTTTCAAGTTGGCATCCCTTACCCAAAATAGGAGTTCCAATTTTTTTGGCAAAGAGTTATACATTAGCAAGAAACCTTATCTACATAATGTATGGTGCATTTAGCAAAAGCTATATCTCAAATTGGAGCTTCTAGTCCTTAAAAGTGATTACTCTGGCCAAGTTTGGCATGTCATATTGTTTACAAGTTCAACGGTCTTTCATCCCATCGACATTCTGTATAATTTTATCATCTGAACTCTATTTGTAATAATAGTTCAATAGCTTCCAATATAGGAACGTGACACATGAATAGTTACCATATTTTTGTGACTTATTTCACCTGTTCCCCTTCTTCGCAAGCAACCAAATAGACAAGCACCATGATCACTCCAATTCAAAGCTCTGTTAAACACTACTAGAAAATTACATAAAACTGACTGATGTTTCACTCTATCAGCACATCGTGTAAAATGTATGTGAAGGATCCAATCCCCTCAATTTACTTCACAACCCACCTATAATTCCTAATTACACTGATTCTCATCCATCTAGCACTGACAAGTACAAAGGTTAGAATCCGCCTATAGAGCAACGGTGTTACCTGATATACGCCTGCTTCCTACTTCTAGAAACATAGTTACACCTTGACTACCTTCTTTCAAACCCTTTCGGTACAGGGCACAGACCACTCCCTTCTTTAACCGCCAAACTTCAGCCACGCTCATACTTCACGCAGCAACTGGTCAAGAAAATTTCCCAAAGCCGGTGTTCTGGCATCATGAGTTCTAGATGTTGGGGAAAGGACGGGAGAGATATGGTGCAAAGTGCCAAGCAGGTTTCATGGGCCATTCAACGGAAGAGTTCAGGGAAAGACCACATGATGAACTTTGCAAAGACGTCAGACTCCAGAAACTCAATGTGTGCCGCCCGACCTATGAATGTGTTGAAGTTCTTCCCATACACTGTTGTATCAAAGTTGACATCACATCGCATAAACAACCTTTGCTCATTGGTTGAGGTCCGTATCTGATCCAGGCAGTTATTTAGCATCTCCAGGAATACCTTGCCTCTTTTGGAGTGGTCCAAGGTTGCAGCCTGGCACAGTTCGATTCTAGCTGAATGGTATGGCACATAACCATCCTGTGTGGAAAATTGTGAAACCAGTAAGCTAATCAATTTGCCTACGATTTAATCAAGTCTAAGTATATATTGCACACAAGGAACCGAAAAGGTTAAAAAACACAGATTGAGAAAAATGCACTAATGAATGGCTTAATTTAAGTTGCACTAATGCCATCCTCTCCCAATTTGCATGTGCCAACAATAGATCTCAACGGACCAAGAACTACCTACACGTGCAGAAACCCGGCTACTCATTTACAGATGAACTTGTAATCGTGAATATAAGTCATGGGCAGATGTTACTTTGCTGTAACAACGAGACGAGAAATAATTGTCACTTCCAACAGGGAACCAATTTCAAGAGATACGTGAAGAAACGAATACCTGGGGTGACGACATCAGTATTATGTTTCTGAAGTGGTCTAGTGTCTTGTGCTGAAAATAACAACAAAAACCCTTCAGTAATTCTTTCCCAACCACACAAAAATATATCTGCAGCTAGTACCTGGCAAAGCTGGTAGAAAAAGGTGTTTCTGAGATCAGGGTCATCCGTGAAAGTAAGCTGATGAATGCACTGTGTTCCCTTCAGCTTCTTTAAAAGCCACATTCCAGAATTAAATAAAGAGTTTGAACTGTAAAGATAGCCCAAGTGTGGACCAGATACAGAAACGTAGGTGTAGAGGTAACTCAAATATGGCTCCATGATGCTCTCTGCATCAAATCAAGCAGAGATTCATTGTGAACACTTCTAAACTTGGAAACACTCCTATAGAAACATACGACACGCTAAAGCAAAAATGATAGTACCTGATAGAGCCGATCTTATAATTACATTTCCAATAGAGTGCCCAGCAAAGCTGAGCTTAATATCTCTCAAATGACCAGATCTTGAAACTTTATCCATTTTCTTCTTAACAAAAGAAACCACTTCTTGAGCCAACCTTTGTCCCATTTCTCTGAAATCTCCCAAGGTTTTATCCTCATTTGCCTGTGACATCAGAAACTCTATCTTGGGGTCTATCAACAGCCACTGATTCCGAACAAGCCGTAAATCCAGATGATGTCCCTAAAGCATTGTAGTTAGCGAAGGAAAAAAAAACTTCGTCAAGAGACTTAATTAGAATTAGCAATGAGAAGAACTAGCGAATTTAGAAACTGTCCATAAAAAGCATGTATACTATTGTCACCTTGCCAACAGCAGAAGATTTCAGATTATGAATAGAGCAATAGTTGGCAGACTTAACTTCAAACAAATGATTCAGATGTCACAAAAGGTAGTTGTCCGCCACTATACGACAAGAAAATAGGAAAAGGGCAGGCTCATAACCACATTCTCAAACTAACAGACAACAGGCATTTTGACCACCACACTAATTACTTCCACAATTGGATTGGAGATGGTAATGTCAACATTGTCAAAAAGCAAACGGGGAGGCAAACAAGACAGAACATACGTCAGTTGGGAGAAACACCCAATTGAGTTTCAAAGTACAATCGAAGCAGCTTACCTGAAAACCATGCACAAACACGACAATTTTCAAGTCGCGGCCAGTTGGTTGAATAGTAGGAAGAGATGGTTTGTTTCCAGCCTCAGCACTAGTCTTCAGTCTCAATCCTTGAGAATCTATCAGGTCCATGTTTTTAAAGTACGAATTCTCACTCATGGTACGGCGTGGTGCATTTATGACACGCTCAATTATCACAATAGGAATGCGCAAGGGATCACCGAATATATACAGGTCTTGAATTGAACAAGTATTAATCTGCACATGCAAAATAGTTTAGCAACCATAGACTGCCAAAAATCGTAGAACAGTTGATCAGCACCCCAAGAGATCAGTCATTGTCTCACCCTCATTTGAGCTATGCTCCGTCGATGAAGCTCAGCACGTGTTGCTGCAGCTTGAGCAGGCTGGACAGAAAATGTGAAATTTCTAATCAACGACAAATGGATGAAGAATACAAGAAAAATCACAATCAAATAGACTAATCAAGATTAATTAATATTAACAAATCTTCAGCAAGGCACAAGAAATTCTACATCAATAGCTAGCTTCCACAAAGCAGCAACTCTTCTGGGTACACTGTTGGAAGTATCATCATTTCCACTGCTTATGTAATGATGAGGCATATCAACTTTCGAGTACACCATCCATATTGACCATTCAGCTCTGCGGTCCTTGCTCCATCCGTCGCGCAAAAATTCCAGTATCTGTACTTTGTTTTCCCTGGAATATAATCAAGAATTCAAGACATTAGCGCACAAGTAGGCACCAAATGATGTCGGCTTTCGAGTAAATCATTTAGTAGTATGGAACTTGAAGATGGAGGCACTATAAAGTATCTAATTCCTCAGCAACGGTAAGGAGCAAATTATTCAAGTAACAGAATTACCAAAACAAGTCTCACATGCAACAGAAAACAGAAGTTTCAAGAAGTTATAGTTTTGGTTCAAGCCCCAACTAGCTAAGGAGTAAACCTGTGAAACTGCATAAAGACGCCCCATAAATACGATTGTTGCGACCCCAGTGCATGGAAAATATTTGTTAAAGCATCCACCGATAGACTGCCCAACCTCTCACTTTGAATGTCCCGGATACCATTTTCTGTCTGACAGAAAGAAACAAATTACACATTAACAAGCTACTTTCACAGAAAATGAGAACTGTGAAAATCATGTGAAACTTTAAAAAGGAAAAACATGGACCTCAAGACCATTTTGTCGCTTGCCTTGTCCAGAATATTCACCATCTGAAGTACCCAAGCTTGCTTGCCAGACAGAATCTAACATCTTGATATCATTCATCTTTCGTTTGAACTCAGTCAAGTCAACAACTTTGTTAATGGCTTTGCTAAGTTTATGAATCTCTTCCATCAATACGTCTCGGGCTAGTAAAAAGGCCTTGACAAGTTCTACCTCTCTCAGATCTACAGGATCCAATTCCTGTTGAAACCAATCAAGTTCAGGACATGAGAAAATAAGGCATGGAACTGATTATGTAAAGATAACAGTGACTACTGCTTAAGGTTGCAACATGAGAGATCAAATGCTTGTGTAACTACGCGAGTGGATCACCAAATTTATGATTAAGTTAAGAAATGTTCCACCCCATTCCAAGAGGACAAATGTAATAAACTGACATGGGAGACCAAACAAGAATCTTGATTTATTAGCTATCGAATAAAACTCGTATCATTGCTAGACAAAAGGAAAACTAAGACTGAAACAAGCTGTATTTCAAAATAGGAGATGTGCCCAAAAGTTCTAAGCATCCACTTCCAGCAAACACGACCGGAAGATGTGCCGCAACAAATAACATAATATTGAGAGCTTGGCTACAGAAGCATGATTTAAAGGGGATGTAAAAGACAATACAGAACATACTTTATCAAGCCCATTAGGACTTCCACCGGCTGAAGAATCGAGAGAATCACTGCAATAATCATCAAAAGAACCAGTTACTACAAAGTACAGTTAAATGGGATGTTATCACTTTCAGGTTGAAGGTGACAAACCTGGCTACCTTCTTGTAATAACCAGCTTGCAAAAGGGTGACATGGACACTCACATCAACGAGCACAGCATGAAATGCGTCAAAGTAAACAGGGCAATATGAATGCACCCCCAGAAGAGCTTTGGGAGGAACACGAAACTCATGGATAGCAACAGAGGATGCTTCCAACGTAGACAGAAATTGATGCCTGCATATGGAAAATATATCAGTATTGCCAGTTACACAGTAGATTATTCAACCACGGTGCAACATGTATTTCCTCCATTTCCAGATAAAAGTTAAGCCGAAACTCACCCGCTTTCAGTTATTGGAGCTTGAAAAAGCTCAAATTTCAAAATAACAGCAGACGAGGAAGGACCCTGTAAATGGATAGAGCATTAGTACACACTTCACGTATTAATCATGCGGGTAGCAGATGCAGAACATAATGTTCGAGAATCGAGAGCATTCAAGACATTCCAGGCTTCCAAAATGATACTCCCATAATAAGGAGTAATCATGTAAAAGTGAAATTTACTCTTCCTTATTTTTTGAAGAACAACTCCAACAAACTTAAGATCGTTGGGAGAAGTCCCCCAGCAGAAAAGAGAAGATGTGTGGATACAGTTTGGCAAGAGGAACAATTTCCAAGTCAACAATCTTAAAAAAAAAACTTCACCGCCTAAATGCCATATTGTCTTCTCTCTTTAGAAAAAAAACAGTCTAAACAAGAACTATGTTCTAGGTAGCACATTTCCCGCTAAGCAGAAACCTCCTATGTGTTTGAATTATGAAGGTTGTTCTTCATGGCATTGGGGGGGGGGGGGGGGGGGGGGGGGAAGAGAGAGAGATAATTACCTTACATTTACTTAGTGATAAATTAAACGATATCAGGATAGACATCCGAACATCCTGCCTTGCATATCTTATTCGGAAGGGGGGTGTCAAGAAGCTATTATCTGTATCATCAATCTTCCAAACTCCATATACGTCATCAAAGCCAAGATCAGGAGCTGCATGAGAAGAGTAGTGGGCACGAGAAGTCAGCAATGAAAACTTAACTACAAGCTATGACACCCAGGTTGGAAAAGGGGGGAAGAGAACTGACAAAGAAGAATCACACAGATAATCTTGGCCCTAAAACTATCCACATATGATGTACCTTCATATTGAACAACCCTTGCTGGGGTTGCTACAGTAGTAATCTCATCATCTTCCCATCTCATGGTGATCTTTATTTGGTACCATCTACAAGATCAAGGATGACGCGAGACAAATTAATCAGTACATCGTCACAAACTATGTCATGAAGAACAACACTGCAGAGGACTATAATGAAAAAAATGGAAATCAGCACAAGGAAGCATACCCTTGCTGGAAAAGGTCAAGGTTGTGAAACCTGTGGATATAAATAGCAATTTCTTGCACGGTTTCTGACATCGTAGTATGTGGCCTGATTCTAGTAGTGTGTATGCTTGCATCAGGTAGCCTCTTCTCTGACCCACTTTTAGTATTTAGACCAATCAACCATCCTAATCGTCGTATCATAAGTTAATAACAGTTCTTAAAACATGCATCTTGACAAATCCCCCTCCCCATTTTCAAACATCCTTGCCGACCCAAGAGTGACATCAAGTCCATCTCTTCTTCCACCTTGTACCAACATCCACTGGCATCATCATAAGCATACTAAAAACATAACTCTCATGAATCCCACATCCTCAATTCGCTTCCTAAGGCTGTCCCCGCTGGTGGAGAGAAAAAGAGATACGCTAGAAACTGCAAAAGAGGAAAAGATGAAATGCAAGCATGAGAAGAAAACACAAGCAAAGGATACCCGCACTAACCAAACTATATGTCGGGTATCTGTAAACCTCAGCCGATCTCTCAGCGTCATCAAATATGTTGAGAAAGGTACCAATATGACAAGGGAATTGAACTAGCGCGATCGGGGATAGTGAAGACGAATGATCGCAATCAAATGATGACGAACAAGAAATGCAGATTGCAGACAGAATCAAATCGGGGGGAAACGGGAAGAGAGAGCAAGGACGAACCGGAGAGAAATGGGAAACCAGACCGATAAATCCTTGAGCAGAAACTTTATGGGCAGATCTGCGGGGAAAAGGTTGAGATGATGGAAATGGCTTTTTTGAGAGAATCTACAAGTGGTGGTGGGGGTGGTTGCAGTGTGCAGGGGCAGCTAGGGTTTGCAGCTTTTCGTGCGAATTCGTTAATTTTCCATTTCTTCTTCTTCGCAGAGGTTTGGGGCGGAGATTGGGAAGAGCTGTGGGAAGGGGGACAAAAAGGTTGGGTGCCAGACTGCTAGTTCCATATTAGCATTCTCTTTTAATTTTTAATTTTTATTGACGGGCTCTTTTATTTATTTAAAATTAAAATTGTACGCCTTTTTGTTTTTCTCGTTTCCCCACTCTTCACCCACTCCCTGTCAGCGCCGCTCTCCGGCCCCACCATACTATTTTATTTTATTTTTTTCAGTTTTCCATTCAAGAGAAAATTTAAGTCCTCGTTTTGACTTTTCTTATCCGTTCATACTTCACCCACCATTTTTCTTCCTCCATTTCATGTATTTTCTCTAACAAGTGCATGATTATGGACGATCAAATAAGTAACTCATAGAGGTGGGCTTGAGTTCAAGTCCTTAAGCCTCATTTTTTAAGAAAAATCTTAAAGTCTTCCTATTGGCTGATAGTGGATTAGGTAGTTAATGAGAGTTAGTAGTTAATAGGTAGTTAAGGGTAAATAGGGTTATGCAAATATAATTAAAATTAATATAATTTGTTGGGGATATAGCTCGGATCCAGTCGCGCGAGTAAGATGGCCGAGCGAACCACCCGCGAGTAAAGACACGACCGCGAATGACTGAAGCACCAGGCGGCGCCGTTTTGTCTAGACCAAGCCGGTGTCGTTTCGCTTCACCAAAACCAGCGTCGTTTCGCTTCACCAGAACAAGCGTCATTTTGGTCCTGCCCAAGCTGTCGTCGTTTCGGTTAATCCTAACTGGGAAAGAGAGCCGAGAAAACGGTGCCGCAGCCTACGAAGGAAGGGTCACATCCTAGTCCTGGTCCTAGGAATAATTATGACCTAAAGCATGGCCTAAGCTTCTGACACACGTAATGGTCTTGTCGCATTAAATATCCACTCGTTGTAATGTACTATAAAAGGGAATTTACTACGGTAGGTAGGGGATCGGTTTTTGGATTCTCACACTAATATACAACCACTTATCTCACTAGAAATCTCGTTCTCTCATCCCTACTCTCTTAAACTTCCATCCATTAACAGATTGGAGATTCACCTTGCTTGCTCTCCTCTCCCCACTTTCCCGAGTCTCACTCCTACACTCAGTTAGGCTCAAACAATTGGCGCTCACCGTGGGACCGAGTAGAGAAGCAGTGGAAAACCAACCAATGGCGGAACATAACCCCAACTCACTTGATGAAGCAACACCCATCAAGGCGATGACGAACCCAAGAGCGCACACGGAAACCAGTAACCTTAACGCGGTGCTCATTGAAGAAGAGGAGCCCGAGCTAACGGCCAAAGAAATGAGGCAACAAATGGCTAAGCAAAATGAAGTCATAGCCGATATGCAAAAGAAGATGAACCAAGTCATAGTGCTCATGATGAGCAAGGAAGTCGCGCCGCCAATCCACGCGCCATCACCAGCGCCCGACGAAGCGCCAGAGCCTGTCCCACTGCCATAGCAAATGCCGATCGCATTGCCCGCGGACGAGTCGCTACAAGCGGAGCCGCGCCCCTGAGTAGACCTCAGTTTCTTAGAGCAACACTTATCCCCGCAGTACCGCCCTCACCCACCAAGAAGAATCCTCCACCAACCGTTAAGCGCGGAAATCATGGCGGAACACCTAAGCGGAATGTTGCCCGCCCTCCCCACGTATAATGGGACGACTGACCCGGAGGACCATGTCAGCACATTTTGCCTCATAATGCAACTCCAAACCAATTCCAACGCGACACTATGCAGAACCTTCCCGTCGACATTCTCCGGCATATGTCTCGACTGGTACAACAGACTCCCCAACGGAATCATCCGCTCGTTCGAAGAGTTCATACTCTTGTTCACCACTAAGTTCGCATCACAAAAAAGAAGACCCCTACACCTCAAGGCCTTGATTGACATCAGGCAAAAGGATGGGGAAAGTCTGCGCGCGTTCTATGCCAGATGGTCCAGGGTAGCAATGCCCGTGCGGGGCCTCACCCCTGAAACCGCCGCCCATCACCTCATGGACGCCACTACCAACATGGAACTCAAGCGAGCTCTAGCGAAGAGGCCAGTCACGCTTTCGACGGAACTGGAGGCCAAGATCGAGAAGGCCATCACGCTGGAGGAAACTTTGGGCGCGGGTTCCATCAGGTGCTTCGAACCCTCCAAGCCGCCCAGAGAAGATCATGGGCGGAAACAACTTCCGTTGTCGCGGGAGCAGTTAGTACAGACGCATAGCGGGCCTAGACGACAGCTCGCCCCGCCAGAACAAGCCCTTCGAAGACGCTCACCAGACAGACGCCCACAAAACACAATGCCCGCTTACACACCGCTAAACGATTCTGTAAAAAATGTGTTCCATGTACTCCGTGAGAAAGGATACAAGATCAATTGGCCCGCACCTGTCAAAGCTGCGCCACACATGCACGATCCAAGTAAGCATTGCGAATTTCACAGGGAAACGGGTCACTTGACTGAGGACTGCAGGGAACTGAGGTATGAAATACAGGGCTTCATTCGAAGAGGACTCCTATCACAGTTCATCCAAGGAGCGGAGGGGCAGAAAGAACAACGCGGGAATTCACCGCCACCCCCACAACCTGATTATGATGAGGCAACTGGCGTGTACCTAGTGCGAAAAGAAATTGGGGTGGTGACGGTTGAAGGAAGCCGCCCAAGCAAAAAGACGAAACGCGAGCGCGCCATGGAATGCACGGCAGCGGAGGTACGACCAAAGTGCCACTTAAGTTTCGACGACGCGGAATTCCCCCAAGGAATCCTGTCAGAAGACTCGCATGCCATCACCGTGCTAGTAGCCGCCTGCAAAATTCATCGCCTACTGATTGACGGGGGTAGCATGGCAGATATCCTTTTCAAGAGCACCCTAGACCAAATGGACATCGATCGGCGCCTAATCAGGCGCGCGGAGGGGAACTTTCTTGGATTCTCAGGAACAAGGGTTGCGGTGATCGGCGTGGTCACCCTCCCCGTCGTAATCGGAGATCAGGAGCCGCGAGTCTCCAAGCAGGTCGAGTTCACCATTGTCGACTGCAACTCTCCCCACAACGACATCCTGGGACGACCATTCCTCGCCAAATTCATGGCACTCCCATCGACGTGCCACCAAAAGCTCAAATTCCCCACCAAGGCAGGGACCGGAGAAGCGTGTGGGATGCCATGGGGAGCCCCAAGAATAGAACGAGAGCCCCGCCAGACCAACATCATTGACACGCGCGCAGAAGACCCGCGCCCAGAATCGATGGATTCTGATTTCGAAGTTGCGCTTGACCCCGCTGAACCTACGAAGAAGATCCGCGTTTCAACCCATGTTCGCGGTGACATGGTTGAGCCACTAATTGCGCTGCTGAAAGAGTACAAGGAGTTGTTCGCCTGGTGCACGGAGGACAGGCCGGGAGTACCAAGACAAGTAGCTCAACATTCCCTCGCGGTTCCCGCCAACGTAGAACCAAGGCAGCAAGCACGGAGAAGCTTCACAGGCGACAAGCTGAAAGCCATAGAGGAAGAGGTCGCGCGACTACTAGCGGCAGGGCTAATCCAACCAGTGAAATACCCGAAGTGGTTGGCGAACGTGGTTTTGGTGAAGAAGTCTTCGGGAGCCTGGCGAATGTGTGTTGACTATACAATGATAAACAAGGTGTGCCCGGGGGACCCTTATCCCCTGCCGTGGATTGACCAACTGATCGACACCGCTGATCATGAAACGCTGTCTTTCCTAGACATGTTCTCGGGATACCACCAAATCCCGATGTCTTGCGAAGATGAGGAGAAAACGACATTCATGACGCCATTCGGAAATTTTTGCTTTGTTGGGATGCCGTTTGGCTTGAAGAACGCTGGCGCGACCTACCAAAGTATGATCGACTCAGTGTTCTCGCGACAGATTGGGCGGAACGTTGAAGCGTAGATGACCTCATCGTCAAGACCAAATTGGGCAACTCACATTTGCAAGACTTGCGCGAGACTTTTGAGGCGCTGCGGGAACACAGTCTCCGCTTGAACCCTCTGAAGTGTGTGTTCGGAGCGGAAGCGGGGAAATTTCTGGGGTTCATGATCACTAAGCGCGGTATCGAAGTTGACCCGAAACAGATCACCGCGGTCCAACAGCTGCGGGCGCCGAGGAGCGCGTAGGAGATACAATCCTTAAACGGCAAGATAGCGGCACTGGGAAGGT